TGGATTATATGATACCTGTATTTTTATTTATTTATTTGTTATTTATTTATTTATTTATTTATTTATTTATTTATTTATAGAGAAGTAGAGAGAGAGAGAGAGAGGTGGGGGGCCAGGGCAGAGGGAGAGGGAGAGAGAGAAACGCTTAAGCAGACTCCATACCCAGCATGGAGCCAGACATGGGGCTTAGTCTCACAACCCTGAGATCATGACCTGAGTCGAAAACAAGAATCAGACAGTTAATTGATGGAGCCACCCAGGTGCCCCATATAGCTTTATTTTTAATTTTTTGAGGAAGCTTTATATCGTTTTCTATAGTGACTCCAACTGTTTACATTCCCACCAATAGTGCATGAGAGTTTTCCTTTCTTCACATCCTGCCAACACTTGGTGTTTCTTGTTTTGTTTTGTTTTGTTTTTTTGAGAATAGTCATTCTGACAGGTGTGTGGTAAATCTCTTTGTGATGCATTTCCCTGATGATGAATGATTTTGAGCATCTTTTCATGTGTCTGTTGCCCATCTGTATGTCTTTGGAAAATTGTCTATTCAGATCTGCTCCCCATCTTTTAATTGAATTTGTGCTGTTGTTATTGAGTTACATAGATTCTTTTTATACTTTGGATATCAAACCCTTATCAGATATATAATTTATAAATATTGTTTCCCATTTAGTAAGTTGCTTTTCATTTTGTTGGTTGTTTCCTTCTCTGTAAAGAAACATTTTTAGGTTGATGTAGTATCATTTGTTTATTTTTGCTTCTGTTTCCCTTGCCTTTGGAGTCAGATCCAAAAAAGGAAAAAACAAAACAAAACATTTCTAAGAGCACTGTTGAGGCACTTATCACTTATGTTTTTTCTAGTTTTATGGTTTCAGATCTCACATTCAAGTCTTTAGTCCATTTTGAGTTAATTTTTGCATTGTGTAGGAAAGTGGTCCAGTTTCAATCTTCTGCATGTAGCTATTCAGTTTTCATACCATTTATTAAAGAGATCATTCTTTCCTCATTCTATATTCTTGTCTCCTTTGTGGTAATTTAACTGGCCATATATGTGTGAGTTTATATCTGGGCTACTTTGTTCTATTGATCTATATGTCTGTTGTTATGGCAATACCATACTGTTTTAATTATTATAAGTTTGTAGTATGGTTTGAAATCAGGGAGCATAATACCTCTGGCTTTGTTCTTTTTTTTCAAAATTGTTTTAGCTGTCTGGGGTCTTTTGTGGTTACATGCAAATTTTAGAATTATTTGTTCTAGTTGTGTGAAAAATGTCATCAGAATTTTAATAAGGGTTGCAGTGAATCTATAAATCGCTTTGGATAGTATGGACATTTTAACAATGTTAGTTCTTCCAATCCAGGAGCATGGACTATTTTTCCATTTATTCGTGTCATTTTCAATTTCTTTCACCAATGTCTTATAGTTTATACTGTATAGACAGTATGTGGAAGTGTCTCTCTCTTTTGATGTATTCAGCCATTCTGTCTTTTGTTTGGAGAAGTTAGTCCATTTACATTTAAAATAATTATTGATATGTATGTATTACTACCATTTTGTTCATTATTTTCTGGCTGTGCTTGTAGTTCTTCTCTTTCTCACTTCCCTTGTCATTTGATAACTTTCTTTTGTGTTAGGTTTAGAGTCCTTTCTCATTTTCTCTTGTGTATTTACTGTAAGATTTCACTTTGTTGTTACCATGAGATTTACATATATCACACCAAGTATGTAACAGTCTATTTTGTTGATAGCAACTTAAATTTGAACACATTCCCAAACTCTACATTTTTACTGCCTCTCCCAACATTTTATGTTTTTGTTGTCACTTTTAAGATATTTTTATTTTATATATTTCTTAATCAATTATTGTAGTTTTAATTTTACTCCTTCTGTCTTTTAATCTTCTTAGTAGTTTTATAAGTGATTAAGCTCCTACCTTTATCATATATTTACCTTTTCCAGTGATATTTTTACTTCCATATATTTTTGTGTTGTTAATTAGTGACATTTATTTTCAATTTGAAGAAGTCCCTTTAATACCTCTCACAAGACCAGTTTAGTAGTGATAAAGTACTTTAGCTTTTGCTTATCTGAAAAACTCTTTACCTCTTCTTCAAAACTGAACGATAATCTTGCGAGGTAGAGTATTCTTGGTTGGAACTTTTTTCCCTTGAGCACTTTGAATAGTCATGGCCTCCCTTCTAGCTTGCAAAGTTTTTACTAAGAAATATCCTGATAGCTTTATGGAGTTGCTCTTGTAAATAACAATTTCTTTTTCTCTTGCTGCTTTTAAGATTCTCTCTTTATCCTTATCTTTTGGCATTTTAATTATAATGCGTCTTGGTGTGGCTCTCTTTGGGTTCATTTTATTTGGAAATTTTGGGACTCCTAGATCTGGATGTCTGTTTCCTTTCCTAGCTTAGGGAGGTTTTCAGCCATTATTTCTTTACATAAGTTTTCTGACCCTTTCTTTTTCTCTTCCCCTTCTGGGACCCCTATGTTGTGAATATCATTCTGCTTGATGTTGTCCCAGAGGTTTCTCAATTATACCCATTTTTTAAAATTCTATTTTTCTTTTTGCTGCTCCATCTGGGTGAGTTCCATTACTTTCTCTTCCAGCTCCCTGACTCATTCTTCTACTTCATCCAGTTTTGTTAAATCCCTCTAGTGTATTTTTTACTTCAGTTCAATATTCTTTGTCTCTGTGAGTTTTGCTTGGTACTTTCCTGTTTCCTCTCATTGTTGAAGTTCTCACTGTGTTCATCCATTCTTCTCCAGAGTTCAGTGAGCATCTTTATGACTATTACTTTGAATTCTTTATCAGGTGGATTATTTATGTCTGTGCCATTAAAGTCTTTTACTGTGGTTTTTGTCTTGTTCTTTTGTTTGGAACACATTTCTCTGTTTTCTTTTTTTGCTTGACTCTCTGTGTTTGTCTCCATGTATTGGGTAAAACAGCTACCTCTCTCACTCTTGAAGGAGTGGCCTTGTGTAGGTGATGATCCTTCTCATTCAACCTTGCCCTAGCTCTTGGTTGTCTCTAGAACCTTTGCGATTATCTAAATTCCCTGATTTATTTTGATATGCCCCTATTGTTGAGGGTATGCCAGGACCTGTAAATGATCCAAGGGAAATGATCTCATTTAGTACTTCTTTTCAGGCTGATTGGAAGTCAGACCCTCAGGCAGCAGCTTTTAAAGTATGTAAGTATCTACAGCACTGTGGAGCCACAGTCATAATCTCTGCTGGCCTCAAGACCAGGATATCTGCAGGTGTGCCCTGGACAACAGCTGCAAAACATCATGGCCCCAGACAAGTGTAGAACTATGTTTTGGGAATTTATCAAGCTGTGGTGAGGCCAAGCAGGTGGGCAAGGATGGTGAAACCATGCTTATTTTCCCTGAGAGTGACTCCTTAGCTTCTATGTGTGGGAAACCTGAAGCTTATCCCTCAAGCTGAAGCTCCATGCTAAGTAAATAGGCCTTTTTTCACAGGAGGACCTGGGTTGTGTTTCAGTCTGCTGCCTGTGCAGTGCCCTGGTGATTGTGGCCTGGCAAGCATAAACAGTACTTTAAATTGATGGCTGTCATAACTGGATTTTGTTCTTAAGGTAATCAAATCAGTCAATTTCATATTAAAAGAAGTAGCCTTGGGACACCTGGGTGGCACAGTTGATTAAGCGTCCGAATCTTGGTTTTGGCTCAGGTCATGATTGGGATTGTGGGATCGAGCCCCGCATCAGGCTCTGTGCTCAGTGCAGAGCCTGCTTGTCCTTGTACCTCTCCCTCTGCTCCTCCCCAGCTCTCTCTCTCTCAAATAAATAAATAAATAAAATCTTAAAAAAAAAAAAAGAAGTAGGCTTGTTGAGTTCACTAGAGATTTGATGACAGATCTTTTTCATTTAAGTTTCATTCTGTTTCTCCCGGTTGCTGCAACCTCTGAATTCAAAGCAACATTTTGCAGTTACAAAATATTTTGACTCTGAAGTTGTGCTAAAACTTGTATGAACTGATACCAAGGAATGTCAGGTAACTGACCTCTTACAGATGATAATTAAATACATCTGAGAAGAGTCTAAAGGAAAAAAAAGGGAAAGGTTTTAATACAACTATCTTATAAATGCAAGTCATGTCTACTTTCCTTTTTCTGTAGACCAGTGGTTTTCAAATGAATTTTTATTGGTGGCAGCATTTTGCAATAAAATCTTACAAAAGCCCCCAATATATAAGCAGATGGAAGTTGAACTATTTTGAGGAATAAGGAAAGAAGAGCCCAGGTAGGTTAGTTGCTTCCTCTCCCTACTCCTCACCATCATGGGGCTCTTAAGAATCATTGGTTGAATGATAAGGATCAGTTTCTCCAATAAGACAATGTGTTTGCTAGATCCATCATCATGAGTCACATAATTCTCTGAAGTTCACTAAATTAACTCCACAGACATTGTATGGTCCTGAGTTTAAATATGTTGTTGAAAGTCACAAGCTATGGAACTAAGAAGCTATTAGTGGCAAGGTGAGAATGAAGTAGCCTGCTGAAGCAGAGAGCAGAGAAGGAGAAAGAGTCCTAGTGGCCTTTGATTCCTTAGCTGCTTCCCTCCTTCTCTATAGGCTGATTGTTCAAACTTTCCTTCAAATTCCTTTTTGCTGAAAGTGAGTTTATGCTGCATATTCTTTACTTGCAACCAGTAGTCCTAACAATACAAATACCATGAACATGGCTATTTTTTTTTTAATTCCAACAACATTTGTAGAGGTTATTCTATGTGAAATAATGCGAAATTGAACATGATGGTCTCTGCCAGTAGAGACATGATGATTTAGTGAGAGAATGTGGAATGCAAAGCAATCATTTCAGTGCAAAAACCATGGTTCACTATGCTTCTATATGATCAATGATTCTACATGTCATTCTGGAGAGAATGTCACTGAAACCAGGTAAACTTTCTATCTGATGTCTGCTAAAATATTTTATTTTTTTATTTGCTTAATTTCATGGATAAGGGAGAAAGTCTGATCAATCACTCAGTGAAGGAAAAATCAGCTGCTTGGAGAACTACAGAAATTGAGGATTATTCAGAGGATGCATCTTACTTGGAGGAACTGGAAGAACACAGATTTTCAGTTTGGTGAGTAACTTACCCTGTCTTTCTCTTTTCAAGTTTAAGTTCATTGAATTAAACAAGTCTTTATTCATCCTATTCTTTTATTCAACAAATATTGATTGCATGTCTATTACAGGCTATATGATATGTACTGACTTGGGAAAGCTCATAGTCCAATGAAGTATATGGATGCTTAAAAACATCAATGTGATGTGATAGTGATATAAATAAAAAAACACACAAAGTGCTACATACACACATGGAGAAGTTGATGGCCAAGTTTCTATGAGAATGGACAAGCATTCTCATAAAAAGTTTGAGCCAAATCTTAGGGAGAGAAATGCAGTTGAAAAGTGGTGACAGTTTGCTGTGGGCAGCATCTGGAAGTGGAATTGGGAGCGTGGCTGGGGTGGAAATGTGCTGTAAACCTTAGTTCTCTTAAGATTCAAGCAGATGGTAGTTATTGCTCTCTTTACCTGGTGATGTATATACAGGTGTATCTGCAAGCATACATGTAATAAATATTTAAAAATGCATAAAAGAGTGAGCAATGGAGCCTCTTAGCAGTAATGATTATAGGATTTTGCAATGGTGGGATTTGTCAAGGGTGGGGGGAATGAATGCCAGTAAATGACAGTGTGACACATGGAGTAACCCAGGAAAGAAGAAGAGACCAAGGAGCTATATTCAAAGTCATCCATTCCAAACCACTGCCTCCCTGCCTACCTCAAGATCCTTGCCCTGAATGGTTTCCCCAATGGGCAATTACCTACCCCCTGACTTAGTCCCAAAGATGTTCTCTTACTCTTCCATCCCAGAATGACCATTGGGAAAATATAGTATCAGCTCAAATTTCGTTTATCCAGTCACAGTTTTAATAAGTTCTACTGGTTTTTAGTTAAATTTCAAAGTTTAAATACTTTTCACCAATGCTTTCCTGAAGAAATTGAAATGTGGTCTCCAGGCTAACTAATGAGTCATGTTCTGAATCAAGAGATGCAAGACTGTGCTTCAGAAACATCAGGCAGGAATGGGAGCCAAGGAGTCCAGAAGATGAGAAATATTCATACTTCTTCTAGAAGGAAAAATAATATACAAGAAATGCTCTAAGTCTAGACTAGAGATTGGCAAGTACAGGTCCCAGGCAAAATTCTGTTATCCATCTGTTTTTGTTAAAAAAAAAAAAAAAAGGTATAGCTGGAACTGAGGCATAGCAGTTTGGTTACATATTGTCTTTGTTTTTCTGTACAATAACAGAATTGAGCAGTTGAGGCAAAAGCAGTATGACCCATAAAGTCTAGAATATTTACTATCTAGCTCTTTACCAAAAAAGTTTTTCACCCTTGCTCTACACTGACGTAGATATTTCTCTGTTGTTCACTCATGACATTCACATTATTTTTAAGATATTTTTATGCTTGGGGGCACCTGGGTGGCTCAGTCGTGAAGCGTCTGCCTTCGGCTCGGGTCGTGATCCCAGGGTCCTGGGATCGAGAACCGCATTGGGCTCCCTGCTCAGTGGGGAGTCTGCTTCTCCCTCTCCCACTCCTCCTGCTTGTGTTCCCTCTCTCACTGTGTCTCTCTCTGTCAAGTAAATAAAATCTTTAAAAAAAAAAAAAGATATTTTTATGCTTGGGGTGCCTGGGTAGCTCAGTTGATTAAGCATCTGACTTTGGCTCTGGTCATGATCTCAGGGTCCTGAGATCGAGCCCCACATTGGGCTCAGCAGGGAGTCTACTTGTCCCTCTCCCCCTCCCCTTGCTCATGCTCTCTTTCTCTCTCTCAAATGGATAAATAAAATCTTTTTATAAAAAAGGTATTTTTATGGTTATTTCCTTTATCAGGTTGGGGCTCCTTGTGTGTTTTGGTTATCTATTGCTGCATGATGAATCTCTGAAGGCTGAGTGTCTTGAAATACCAACCATTTTATTTGTTCACAGTTCTGTGGGTTGAGAATTCAGGCAGAGACACATGATGAAAGGCTTGTCTCTGCTCTACCATGTCTGAGGCTTCAGCAAGTTGGCTCAAATGGCTGGGGTCTGGCTTGAATCCTTCCACTGGGACCATGTGTCTGGGATCTTGGTTCCTGCTCTCATCTGAGGTCCTCACTTTTCCACACGGGTCTCTCTCTGCTGATGTTTGGGCTGTTTCTCAGCATGGTGCCTGGGGTCCAAGTAGCATCTTTCCAAGCAGAGGAGGTGGAAACTGCAGATACCTCAAGGCCAAGTTATACTGTATTCTATTGGTCGAAACAAGTCACAGGGTCAGGCAGAGGAGGAATAGATTCTACTTCCTGATGTGAGAGCAGAAAGGTGGCATTGCAAAACACCATGTTAGGATGGAAGAAATCGTGTGGCCATCTTTGGAAGCATAACTTACCACATTTTGCTTTATTTCTGTGTGCACAGCTCCTAGCATAGGACTCAGCAAATATTTGTTGAATAAAACAAACAGATTAATAGAAATGAAAGGGCAGAGGTGTTATGGGTAAATCTGAGGATGGATTCCAGTTTTGCCACTGCTTGTAACCTTAAACAATTTACTTACCCTCTCGGAAACTATTTTATCCTGTATGAAACTGAGATAATAATACCTGTACTTGAATGCTGTGGTTCTTGTAGAAGTTGAAAGATCATGTATAAAAATCTAACATGTAGATTTTTCATACAGGCAACTAATATTAACATTAATAATAATAAAATTTAAGGAAAATGTCTTTTCCAGAGATTAAAATCGAGGCCAAAGGTCACACTGGCATGATTTCTCATTTCTCACATCTGTCTTCCTTTCTGGTCTTCAAACACACCAAGCTCTTTATCACATCAGGGACTTCGCAGTTGATGCTTCCTATGTCTGAGATGTTCTCTCCATTCTTAGTAGTATGGTTACGGGCACAAACTGTAAGCCTCCCCAGAGAGGCCTTTCCTGACTACCACCCCTCTTCTGATTATTTACTTTCTTATCACCTTGTTTTCTTCTTTAAAGTACTCATCCCAGTTTAAATTAATCTTTTATGGTTATTTCATTTATTTACTGATTTATGCTTTTTTCACTAAACAGAAGCTGTAGGCAGGAAGGAACCCCTCTTATCTGGTCACTCCTGGGTCTCCAGGCCTTGCTTCTAGAATACCTGGCTTATAATAGGCAATCAGTAAATATTTACTGAATGAGTGAGGAAAAGGATAACTGAGTGATCTGTCAGCTTCTCTCTCTCTCCCAACTCCCTTGGTTGTAATACCTATTTATTTACTTTCAATCTCTCCCTTCTTTGAAATTGCTACCATTAAAAAAAAGAAGTAATATGGGATAATTAACCACTATAAACATTTCTTTTTAAACCAGGATTGAGGCTATGGGGGCTGCTGAGACTTCTATAAACTTGTGTTTTAACTGGTCTGAGATACAATCTGAACAATTTCCTTGATGTTTTATTAGAGCTGGTAAATCATTTATTGGGGCAGCCTTTACCTAAATCCTCTCCAAATCCCCATAAAATGCATTTAACACAGAATACTGTACGACCCAGCTTCAAAGATATATGTGACATTGTATGAGAAGTATTTGCTTCAGTGCAGCAAGTTTGAACGTATGCATTTTCTTTCTCTATTTCTTATATGGCCAATCTCACTCCACTTCTCTCCTTCCCCTGTGCCTCATTGTAACATGCTGATTTGGGTAAATCTTGTAGATTGTTAAGTCTTCAGTCAATCACAGCTTCCAATTAAAAAAAAATGTATAGGACCTTTAGCTAGTCAAATGCAAGTTTATCTTGTTTGTAGCTGTCAATTAAAAAAAAAAGCTTCCAAAATATAAAACTGTTAAATTTTCTCAACCAGATATATGCTGGGGTGATGGGAAGACTGTCTTCTGCTTATATTTTGAGATAACATGATATATCCAAGGTATCCCTCCATACTTTTGTAGTACAAGATTTATTTCCAGCATCACTCATTTGGATGTGCAGTGGTTGGCTCTGTTATATACTCCCCTAACACCCTGCACATTTTCTTTGTGCTCCTTGGCTCACCATGATGAGGTGTTCCATAGTCCCTTTTTCTCATTAGACTGGAAGTTTAATAAATTTCACAGGGGTAGAGATTAAGTCTCTCATGTTCTTTCTGGTCTGGCCACAATGATTGATAAATTGCAAGCACTTAATAAATATTTGCTGAATTAAAACTTGAAAAAATAAGAGGAAAACAAGATTATTGGCATTTCCGGGGCTCTTGAGTGGCTCAGTTGGTTAAGCATCTGACTCTTGGTTTTGTCTCGGGTCATGATCTCAGGGTCATGAGATGGAGCTGTATGTCTGGCTCCATGCTCAGTGGGGGGTCTGCTTGAGATTCTCTCCTTCTCCCTTTGCCCCTACCCCCACCCCCCACTTGAGTGTGCGAGCTCACGAGTGTGCACTCTCTCTCTCTCAAAATAAATAAATCTTAAAAAAAAGAGAAAGAAATGATGTTAGAAATTACAAGTACAGTTGAGACTGTGTTGGGATAAAATTATATGCATCCATAACAACATGCATTTCTGTTCAGTTCAAAAAATAAATATATTTTTTGGGGGAGTCCACTGGGAGCTTTATTTTTCATTTCATTTCATTTCATTTCATTTATTTACTTATTTATTTATAGATAGCGTGAATGGAAAGGAGAGGCAAAGGCAGAGGGAGAGAAAGAATCTTGAGCAGGCTCCATGCCCAGTGCGGAGCCCGAGGAAGGGTTCGATCTCAGGACTCAGAGATCATGACTTGAGCCAACATCAAGAATCTTAAAAAAGTCTGGTGCTTAACTGACTGAGCCACCTAGGTACCCCTGGGGGCTTTTTTAAAATTTATTTTCCTATGAGGGAAAGATTTCAGTGAGAAAGTCTACAATGTCCATTCTGTTAATTACATAAAAAACCACTTATTTGCCTGTGTAAACAGAGCTATAGAATCTCATTGCCTATGGAGTGAATCGGATTTCCTGGGTCCTAATGCAGTGCCTTATTCTTGGCACAGTGACTTCTTCACAGAAGTAAAC